ATTTGCATTTTCATAACTAGACACACTCTGTTGCTAATGTTTGTTAAGTAATGGCAGTGTATATTTACCCCAAGAAATTACACCAGACCACTAAAACTCAATTCACAGAAGCGATGACAAGTCAGTTTGCACCTTAACAAGAGAACATCACATTCCCAAAAGCAATGAAAAATTAACTCTCCTCTGAATGCCACATACACAGTGAAGTAGAGCTGTGTCATTCCAAATTGTATTATTTTTATAAATTCTATTACTATGAAATTTTTCTTGATTAAATCTAAGCAAATAGGATATGGTTTTATTGCTAAATGTTGATGCAGCTCAATTTTCACTCCCTTCAGCCCTGCCCCTCCTCTTTAAGACCTGCTAGATACTTTTTGCTTAGTGTTGGCTTCCTTCCTTTCTCCAAGTTGCCCTTGTTCCATACCAAACTTCTTTCACCTGCTACAATTTCTGGTCCAAAGGTAGATGACTGTGGGCAGGCTGACCTTGAACATAAATTAAAGCTGAACTACTTCGATCAAAAATAAATGTTGATTTACAGTCAATTGTAAATAAAAAGGAGACAAATGCAGCAATGCTAGTTAAACATGAAGGGCCTGATTCTCAGATCCCTTGAACTAAAGATCCATAGCATAAGCCAGGCAGCACCAGAGTGTTTCAAAGACAGCACTCCCGAGGAATCACTACCATTTAAACTAATAAGCAGAGGACTACAAAAGCTTTCCACTAAAGGATAGTGGGAATGCTTACTCTGTTTCAGGATTGCACATTTTAACACAATATTTTAAACCGTGAATTCTGCTTACATTAAGGACTCTTGCTTCATAGGGGAGATAAAGGAACCTCTATCTTAAAAATCATAAGTTCATATTTCTTTCTTATTTTGATTATTTCACTTTTTGACCTAGACAGCTTTAAATTCCAAGAAATCTGTTCTATCTGTTTATAAAGTGTCATATTAAAATCTGTCCTAGAGAATGCAGACTGACTGATGTTGCCATTAGACATAGTAGATCTCTGTTTTGCTGATATGAAGGGGCTTAGTTCTGGGAAGGTTTTCTTCCCTAAGAAATCTCAATGGGAATATGTGCTTGAATAATAATAATGAAAAAGGCCTAAAAATAAATTTAAGACTTGTTACCCTTTGAAAAAATGTAGATAATTCTGTCCCTTCTCTCTTTTAATGGTTTCTTAGTCAAGAAAGGCATATTTATATCCTTCTTCACTTATTCTTTCCACATAAATCAATCCCTCCAAACAGACCCATCAGATTTTTTTTCTTTTTCTTCCTTCAAACTCATCCTTTATGGGATTATCTGTCTTTAAGGACATGTCTGGTAGTGCCCATAGGACAATTCTGTTAGCTTCAGGGAGAGAGAGACTACTGCTGCATGTTAACAAAGTTCAATTCCACAGGCCTTTTATACTGGTATATTCCTTTAAAAATTTGTCTGATCTCTAATTCTTCAATTTAATATTTCTGAATTTAATACTGTTAAACTTTTTTTTTCTGAATATTTCCAATCACATATCTGCCTCTCTGAAACCTGTCTCACCCTTAACATACTTCTAAAGACTTTAATTCCCTTTAATATTTTCTGGTTTTATCTATATTTTGCAACAGCTCATAAAATAGACCTACTTTTGAATTTGACCAAATCCATTAACCCTTTTCATACAAACATGATCAAGGATAGTGAAGAATAAACATGGTAATGAAAATAAAGTAACTCAGAGACTCCTTTAGTGATCCTTAACTTTGTCACGTTTCATTAAGAGCCTCTTATATTTCCTTCCCACACTATTACAGTGCTTTCTTAATTTTAATCTCCATTTGAATGGAAATTTGCTTCTGATGTAAGAATGGTGCAGAAAAATCTACCTCAAAAAAAAAAACTGAGAAAAATTCTGGAGTCTCAAGGGTTCTACACTCCTAATCATAAAGCTTTGCCAACCAATGCTAGTACAGTGAGCTGGGAAGCTATAAATGAAATTTCTCTCAATGCTTTCATGGAAGTGAGATGACATATTGGTGGTTACCCTTCCCAGGTCTTTGAAATTTGTAGCTTGCAGATTTGAGTTTATGATTTCAACAGGGAGAGTTTAACAATACTTCCACTGTGTGCTAAGTGCTAAGGAGAGCTGAAAAGGGTCTCACTGCTATCTCACTTTAAGTACTCACTGAATACTCTAGGCTGGGACAAAATCTAATCTCCTCCTTTTTTTCATGTCAGAATTCATACCTTACTGCAGGTGGGTGAGCAAACGTGAATTTTAAAAGAATTAAAATGCAGTTCTGCTCTAGAAATGGCTATTGGAAAATTGCTTTTTCACAGCATATTCTTCCTGAGGATATTGAAGGAAAGAATGGGACTGTGACGCATAAGGCACAGATTCAAAATATAGAGCACACAGAAGATTATCAAATTCTCAATTCCTGAGACTGTTCAAGTCCCTGTGTCAGAATCAGTAATGCCTTGGGTTATTTTAAACCCAATACAACTTCAATACTGTTGTAAAATTGCATCTTTGATTACAAGGTGAAATTTAAATTCTTGGTTCTGAAAGAAAAATCAGGCCAACCCACCAAAGCTAACTTAGTCCTTAATCTAAGCAAATACGTTAAAGAATATCTGAAAAAAAGCTTTTTTTTTTTTTTTTCTTGAGAGACTCATACTTTTGGAGTCTGTGTGAAGACTGTGAATACAGTTTGTGTATCACTGTCAATGGGATAACTTCCACAGATGATGATTGAACATAAACTTGCTTTTGCAGGTGCAACTTATTATGGTCTTTTTGAGAGTACAAGTTTTCATCAGATTGTTCCATAAGAGAAAGCACATGACCCCAAAGGAACAGCCATTTATTAACACAGCAAATTAGCTAATCAAATTAGACACACACCCACGTTGCAATACGTAAGCGAATCTCAGAAAATCTTCAAAACACTACTCTTGTTCCTACTCCAACTATATATATCTTTGCTTTCAAAACCACTGTGAGTTCTGCTTAAAGAACAGAAGTGCAATCTACAGCATTAAATACTCATCAAATAAATAAATAATAAAATTAACCTATGTGCCATAAAAATCATCAGCTAAGGTAAAGAAGAAGTTGGACAACCATAACAGAATACTTTACTTTTTCAAGTTACTGCAGAACCTCAGAATGCAAAGTGACATCCAGTTACTACTTAGTTAAGAACCTGGGTCTTCCTAAGCATTTCCTTTGCTCCAGTGTTTCCTTCCTAAAAGGCGTTTATAGCATCACCCAGCTGCATTTTGTCCCTGCTGCTGGAAACTTTCCATTCAGCCACAGAACAAAAACAAAACAACGTGTCTGTTTCTTAAACTCTCCAGTTCATGGCATGATATTTTAGACCAAAACACTTAGCAGAATACACCAAGATACAAGATTTTCCACTGCAGTGGTTAGTATGAAGGCTCATGTTCCCTGTTATCACCCTTACTACCAGGACAGATGCAAATGGCATAGTGTCCAAGAGGGAGAGTTACAAGCAGGAATGTCTTGAACTGTAAAGCAATAGTCAGTAGATTCTTCTTTCGTAGACCTCAGACTCCACAGAAACTAGTTTACAGAGGTTTTCATCTCACATAATGCCAAGTTCAGTGCATCTTCAATAATGGTAGCCTTATCACATGCATTGTTTTAAAAAGTCTGATCCCAGCATATACTCTCAGTCATAAATAATCTGGGCACATTTTTACCTAGAGAACTACTGTTGTTAGTAACTCTTTGTGACTCAAAATGTGGAAGTATTAACTAATGTGAATCTAAGAAACCTTTTTTCTTTGAGAAAAAATATTCATCTATTGAAAATCACTTTTCTTGGGAAAATATATTGGGATATTTTGCTATTGTCTATGTATGCATCCCTGACTATTAACTCTTTAAAGTGTTAAATAAAAACTGAGAAAGCCATAAGTTAAATATTAAGATTCTGTCTGGAAAAAAAAGATATTATATAATCCAAATAATTCAATGACATTAGAAAATGCATTTTCTCTTCAGATACAACTAGACAAATAAAGCTTTGATCATAAAAATCTCCCCATGGTGTTGGAACTAGATGATTTTTAAGATCCCTTCCAACTAAACCATTCTATGATTCTGTGATCATTTTTTCAGATTTACTTTGAATACATCCCTAAAAATAAACTCTGAAATTAAAAAATTCTTCATGAGTGTTTTGTTCTGCTTATGAACATTTAAAAATGAGATCAAGCTTCTCATAATCGCATGAAAATCCATCAGTCAGTGATGATCAGATTCTGTGTAGAATACTTAAATGGTAATACTTAAATTCTTTTTCCCATCAACCCGCTAGTTGCCTTTGGCAACTGGTTTTGTATACTCTAGATACAAAAAGAACAACCATTTAATTTGAATCAGTTCATCTGGGGCTGCTTAATGTTTGATTTATCCAAAAGGGAGAAACTGACTGATCTTCCAAAACAAGAACAAAAAATCTCCAAACAAATCTACTTTTTCTTTTCTGTTAGATCAGGCGTGGTGATCCAAACCAATATAACTATAGATAATAGTTATCTTTCTTACTAGAAGTATTCCTTTTCAGTGAAAGTAATTTGATAAACTACTTTATTTTTATATAGCCAAAATCTTTGCAGGAGCTTCACTTAAGAATAAAATAAATTAAAATCCTTTTGAGTTTTGAGTTGAATTCCATTTCTTTACAAAATGTTGCTTAACATACATGGTGACTAAGATTTTCATCTACCGAATAGGAAATGCAGTGTTTCTAAAGACAGTGAAAATGACAAAAGAAACTGATCTGAGTGTTTTAGCAGTCATGTTTTAATGCATGATTGATTTAGCAAATTTACAAAAACCATGTGTCTTCTTGGCTATTGAAAGGACCATATTATATAAGAAAGAAATTATCCTAATAGGAGACAGTAGCTAAACAGTACAAAATGAACAATAAGATTATCTGAAACAGACTTCCTTTCTTCCAGATATTTCAGATACACTCAAAATGATTTGTTTGATTATTCTGGATTTAATTTGTTCTACTCTCCAAAACAAGATGACACAGTCTTCTTTACAGATCTCACTAAGGTATTTCCAAGTTTATTTATGTGAGCCTTTTAATGCTGGTGTTTCAATTCTTACATGAAGTAGATTCGACCATTTGTAGCTGTGGATCAGCAACAACGTTAGATAGAAAAATCATGTTACAAATTGGTTGAACCTGTTTAAGAATTGGTTTAAGTTTTCTTTGGGAAGCTGGAAAAAGGCCAATAAACTTCCATGTGCAGACTGCTGATAAATCTGTGGAATGGACACAGTGGAACCCAGGGTTTGCACAGGAGCACAGACTACATTTAAATTTAAGACGTGATTCTTATTTAAGTTTCAAGCAGAAATCACTCACAGGGTAAAGACAGAAAAATCCGTTTCAGCATTCTCAGAATTTGAATATTGCTTTATTTACAAGAACACGATTATCTCAGTGCAAACTTAGCACTCTCTACTCCCTCTTAAAGTCGCACTTAAGTGCATCATGAATCCTTGTGGTGGCAGAACTAAACCTTCAGTTGCCATCAGAAATGCCTTGGATGAAACAGGCTAGGAGAAAAAATGGAAGTTTCTTGGGAGAGATGTGATATAATAGAAACAAGACACTTTTGCAGGAGGGAGGCAAGAAAGTCTGCACAGCTGCTTCCTTTTTTATTATTGAATGATTTCAACCTCCAGAGTTGTCAGGCCAGTACAAGACACAATTCCTAAAATCCACTTACAACAGCAGTTGATTTTTTATATAAGCATGCTTTTCCTTGACTTGCTAAGAGTTCCGAGGGAGTTTCATAATTAAGAGACACAGTTCTTTTGATATACAAAGCCTCCTAGGCTTTTTTGACACCTGCTTCATGAAGTGTCTCTCACTAGGGAAAATCCAGTTTGTTTATCAGTATTGCCTTGCATTACCTTAAAATGGAATTTTTTTAAAGACATATTGTCCTCTTTTCAACTTCTCCATTCTCTGCACTTACAGTAAATGTGTTGGGATAATCATCCGCTGTTAGTTAATATTAGCTATAGATTTTATCTTGGCACTCAGCGTTCTTACATAGTTTGTCAGTTCTTTGGTTTTGTCATGCATCAAGTACCAGGGGTATTGTCATATGTATGTTTGACATAAGCATTAGGACAGGAAAGAAAATGAGGCTAAGGACCTAATTTTTTTCTTTTGACAGTTCCTCCAGTTGTGCTAGGAAAGGGAAAACATCATCAAGCTATTTAACTGAAGAATGCTCTTTACTGTGAGAAGACTCCAATGTTATCTTTGTTAGTGGAGTATCTTCCACATATTTGGTTTGGGGGATTTTTGTTTGTTTGTTATGCTTTTTGGGTTTTTTTAGTATTTTTTTATCCATATTCATTTGATGCATTTAGGAATTCTGAAGCCATTAGCTTTTAAAAGTTTTTTATGAAATGTACCAAAATTTATCTCCTAAGAGACAAATTTCTTCCAATTTCTCCCTCCAACTTTTCAATTAAGAGTCAAGTATCTTCTGCTTTAAGGACCCTCTAGGAATAAGAAGTAGTAGTAAAGTGTTAATATGTGATATCCAGAAGTAAAACCATCTAATCAAAGTGCTGTGCCAGTAGTTAGAAAACACCAAAACCCAGAGTCTTTCATTAAGCACTTCAGTTTGAAAATTCTAAGGCATTTGGTCTTATACACTGATTAATTAACAAAGAACTTATGCAATCATGTACAGCTGATGATCTTTAAAAGTTAAAGAATGGCATATCTAACTTGTCTTTTGCAATATACCAGATTTTTCATGCTTATCTAGAGGGATAGACAGAATATCACTGGTCAGTTAGGTCTCAGTATATTTGAATGAGGTTTTGTGGGCTGCCTTGAAAGTTCTAGAAAGTTTCTGAGTTTATGCAATCTTTACTAAAGTCACTGCATCAAAATCCAAAGTTGGTATTTTTTTAGAAGAACTTTCTCCAAACATTTTTTTCTTGAGCATCTTCTCTCTTTTTTTTTTAATTCAGAGTTCTACTCAGATGTTAAGATGATTATTCCTATTTGACTTGCCATAAATTATGGTTCATAAGAAAAAAAATAGTGTCAAATGAAAGTATTTTCTGTTTATTAAAAATATTTCTTACTGTCTTTTTAAATGGAAATTAATTTTTTTTTTTATCGGAGTATAAAAGCAAGGATAATTAAAGGAAGTAATGTTCAAGATTTTTGTGATATGGAAACCTGCCTTTTCAGAGTACCTTGAGCAGAATAAATAGTTTGGGATCTTGCCCATGGGAACTGATGTGTGCTCTGCTTTTCCTAGAGCAAAATCACAGAATTTACAGTAATTGATTTCAAAGAATATTTTTACTAAAAGTCTGGAGGCAAACATCTCTTATTATTAGCAGAATTTAAATTGGATTGATTTAGACCAAAGTCAGGTTTCACAAAAGAGAACAGTGCAATGAAATACAAAAGGAAAATACTTTTTTTGCTTACCTCTTTGACTGATAATATGAGAGACATGAGAGGCAGAACTTCATCTCTTGAGAGACAGAACATGCAGTAAGATTTCAAATAAATGGCACACAAAAGATCTATGAAATATTTCTACAGTGTCTGACTAGCAATTGCATTTCCTATTTCTAAACCTTTATGATATGCTCCCCCAGGTTTTTAAGAAACAGTTAAAATTGGACGATTGATGTTATTTGACCTGTACCATGCAGGGATTGTCTACACTACAGTAAGAAAGGGATCTCACAAAGACAAAGCTAAGGAATGTCTAGAGGATCCCCAAAATTCTAAAAGTGTAATTCTGCAGGATGTTTCTGCAAATCCCCACTCCTCTCACGAGCTGTAACTGTTTGAGGGTCCTTCTAGTCAACCTGTATATCTCAGATTTTTGTTGAGCCCATAAAAATAATGGAAACATGCTGGGCTAAAATAAATGTTGGTCCCTATCCTTTCAGGATGTTTACATGAGAACTTGTTGGTGTACAGTTAGATAAAAGAAAAGCCATACAGTCCCAAGTGGAAGCTTCACAGAAGTTCCTCTGTTACACTGAGCAGTCTGAGCTCATCCTGGGTCCAAGGAATTTGTGTGGTACAACACAAACCTGAAGGCCACGCTGTACATGCAGCACATCACAGCACAAACCTGGGCCTATTCAGGAAACTGTTATGTGAATCCTCAATGTATAGGAGTCTCAATGTTCCTCAATGTATAGCAGTCTCATGGTCAGGATCATTACAGCAGGCAAGTTTGTTTTTTTTTTCCTGAGACATTAATAAAAAAAAATTAAAAATACATAAATGTTTACTGAGATCATCTGTTACATAAATTTATCTCTCTTCAATTACAGATACATTTTAGATAGCTAAAATGAACATAATCATATTTTACTTGCATTTCCCTCTAGACTTTACTTTTCGTAACACATCAATAAATATGTGTCCTTTCATTCTTAAAGTTACCTCTGTTCTAACATACGACTACTTAACCAAAGTTAAGCAACAGTCATTACACTAATAGCGGTACCTGGATAAGAGAATTCTTTTCCTTCTGCAAAGGCTAAAGTTTTCTCGAAGATAAATTGTCTGAGTTCCCTTTACAGTGCTTTGATTGTGAAGAACTCTTTAAAGCAACTATAGATACAAGTGATTTTTTTTCACACTGTACAAAAAGCAAATGCATGAGAATCAAAAGATGGTTCTTACTCTTCACAGACCTGATGAGTCAGAAAAAAATTGAAAAGAGAAGGGAAAAAGAAACAGGTTAAAGCAAAAACTGCATGCATGAGCAAAGCAAAAATAAGGAATTCATGCATTACTTCCATTCAACAGGCAGATGTTTTTCAGGAAAATAGGGCTTAATGACATGCAACAGTTACTTGGAAAGACAAACATTGTAACTCTGAATCTCCATTCTCCTTCCTTCTTTTCTCTGGTTTTGTAAACTTAGCATGATGCCGTATGATATGGGACACCTTTTTTGTCACTGGGCTCAGCTGTCCTGGCTGTGCCCTCTCTCAACTTATTCCACATCCCCAGCCTACTCATTGGCAGGACCATGTCAGAAACAGAAAAGGCCTTGATGTTGTGCAAGTGCTACTCAGCAATAACAAAAGTTTCATGAATTATTGGCAATGTTTTGGTCACAAACTCAAAGCATAGCACCATATAAGCTACTATGAAGAAAATCAACTCTATCTCAGCCAAAACCAGTACAATGTTTTAACAGGCAACTGCATTTACGTTCTATGGTCCACACAGTGAATTGGACTGAGTAGGTAAAGGCCAGCTTGTTCCCTTTCAAGGCTCTAGCAAGGCACTCTCAATCGTGGTTATGTGGTCTTCAATCACAGATGGAGGACTCTGCATGCTCCTTAATTAAGCTTTTTTAATTTCTCCAGTCTGCTGAGGTTCCTCTGAAAGGCAGTTCTATCCACCATCATAATGCTGTATATAATCTATGTCTAGATTAGTTTTTTATGCAATCCAAAATACTGCACAGAATTTGGAAAAAAACTCCCCACCTAAATAAGAAACAAATAATTGCATTTATAATTTTAATTTATGTGTATTTCACAGTGACTCTAATACTCTTTGCCTACACACAGCAATTTTAAACTGTGTGAATAATTTAAAATTTCCCTCCAGAGAAATGTAGATTCCTTTAAGTAGACAGTAGGATAGATCAAAGGTATTTGGAATGTTTCATCTGATAAAGACAAATCAAGAGAGGAATGATATAAGTCTTACTTGCATTAAAAAAAAATTCACTGGAGATAGTGGTTAGTTGACATCTACTGGACAAGAAGAAGAACCAAAAGCAAAAGCAGCAGCAGAATCAAAAAAGAAAAATAAGCAAAAAAAAGGAGAAGAGAGAGAAATAGAACCAGAAGAAGAAACAGAACCAGAAGAAGGAGAAGGAAAAAGAGAAGGAGGAGAAGGAGAAGAAGAAGAACAACAACACTGGAACAGGTTGCCCTGGGAAGCTGTGGATGATCCTTTCCTGGATGTTTTGAGATCAGGTTGGACCGGGCCCTGAGCAACCTGGTCTAGTGAAAGG